TTCAGTCTCTCTTTGGTTTGTGCGGTTCCTCTTTCTCACAAATGAAGTTAGCATAACAATCCCCATTTGAAGTCTCGACGACATGGTTTTCATCTTCCCCTAGTGAAGTTAGTTTTGGAATCTCCAGTGAAGTCTAGACAATGAAGCTTCCTCTTCCCTTATCGAAGTCCGTATTGGTATTCCCCAGTGAAACATAGAGGAGTTTATGATATTATCGCAACTTTATTTGTTGCTAGTCAGGTGGTTCTTTGATTGTTTTCAAGCCATGTTCTTCCCAGCGAAGTTAAGCCGTGAAATAGGACTTTGTTTCCTCTGTTGATGCTTACCCTCTCGTGGAATCTAGTCTTCACCCAGCATGTGACTTGGCCGAGTGCGATCTTCACCCAAGTTAGCTTTGTTTGGTTATCCCCAGTGCATTATGGTTATTTTGTCAGCATACCCATGATAACATTCATACATTCATACACATCATGCATAGATGAATTTAAAATTCATCACTAATTTGCATTCATTAATGTTTTGTCGGCATATTATTCCCCTTGCAAAGTTATGTTACTCTCTCTCCAATAGAGTTGTCAACGTTAAATAGAAAGTGTATATCCTTTCAATTTCCCCACCGAGTTATCCCTCGTGGAAGAATTTTGTTTCAGCCTTCCTATTCAGTTCATTATCTGGATGGAGTGTGATCCCCTTTTGAGTTTATTTCTCATCGGGTGCTGACTTGGTTGATTATTTCATTCCAGTTTATTTTCTAGTTTGAATCTGTAGTTCCCGACAACATTATTATTCTGATTTCTGCAGGCTTTGAGCCTTGATTTGAGAATGTGCATTTATTTTGCACGCAAAGACTTTTTCTCCTCAACAGGAATGTATTGGTATTTCCCCAGGAAATCAATCTTCATTTCTCGCCAGTCTTATTAAAATTCCTTCTTAAACATCAAGTGATAGGTCTTTATTTGAGCAACCTGTTCTTTCCCAGTAAGTCTGTTAATGCCAGAGAAGATTTTTTTTCCAATGAATGGTAGCCTCGTCATTATGGGAGGTAGTTCGTTGTTGAGATTTATATTTTGATGAATGGTAGTCTCGTCGTTATGGGAGATAGTTCGTCGTGAAAATTTGTTACTCCAATGAATGGTAGCCTCATCATTATGGGAGGTAGTTTGTTGTTGAGATTTATATTTTGATGAATGGTAGTCTCGTCATTATGGGAGATAGTTCATTGATGAAGATGTTTTTTCTAATGAATAGTAGTCTCGTCGTTATGGGAGATAGTTCGTCGTGATTTTTTTTACTCCAATGAATGGTAGTCTCGTCATTATGGGAAATAGTTTGTTGTTGAGTTCGGCTGTACTTCAATGATAAAGACAGTTCGTTGAAAGATTCCTACAGCTGTATTTTTACCCTTTCCAGGTGAAATATCTTGGTTAAAGAAGAAACTGAGACCAGTTCGTGGCTTACAGTCAGGATCGAGGGGAGGTTTATCTGATTCTCCATCAAATGGTATCTCTTCGAGGAAGTTTCGCAAGAGAAGTTTGTTGTGAAATCTTTACAAGTGGTAGTCTCTTTATTTGAGATTGCTTGTGTTTTTACCCTTTCCAGGAGAAATATCTTGGTTAAAGAAGAAACTGAGACCAGTCTGTGGCTTATAGTCAGGATCGAGGGGAAGTTTATCTGATTCTCCATCAAACGGTATCTCTTCGAGGAAGTTTCGCAAGAGAAGTTTGTTGTGAAATCTTTACAAGTGGTAGTCTCTTTATTTGAGATATCTTGTATTTTTACTTGTTCTAGGAAGAACTCCAGGATTTTGGGAAGTTCGTTATTGCTCTTTGAGACATCACCTTCGGTAAAAGCTGGTGTATTCTATTTTCTCCACCTTCAGGAAACGTCGGTGTATCTTCTGTTTCTTTACCTTCAATAAAAGTCAGTATTGTCCTATATTTTTTCTACCTTCATTCTTGAGTGGGTAATTTGTTTCCATTCTTAGGCAAGATTGATCTCTTTCTCCTCGTCGAACCTTACTCCGATTGAGTTGAGTTGTTTCCATCCATAAGTGTTAATGCCAAATCTTTGTTTACTAGGAATAAGCACTGATACCAAGCATTCATTTACTAATCTAAGTGTTGATGTTTATCATCATCTCTGAGCGGGTATTATCTTCACCATTTCTGTTTGCGCTCTTCTGTTTAGCAGATGTTAATCCTCTGTGTTGATGTTACTCTATTTTTGTTATCTCCTCTATAAGTGGATAGTTCACAGTTCTCGATCAACGACTGTTATCCTCATTTTGTTGAGTTGATGTTATTTTTGTCTCTTCTCTGAATCTTACTCCAGTAAAGTTGAGTCTTCTTTTCCCCAGCGGAGCCAATTTGTCTCCAATAGATTCAAACGTATTTTCCAGGAGTCGTGTCATTCTCCAGAGATTTATTCTCCTGGTTGTTTTTTTTTTTGTTAATTTGTTGATTTTACTTTTGCTTCCCCAGTGTGTGTCTTACCCATCTGCATGAAGTTTATATGTTACATCCATAATCATAAGCATCACATGGTATCTTAGGGCCAAAAATAAGGCTTGTTTTATATTTAAGTATCTTCAATCGCGTCGAAACAAAGATTTTAATCTTCGTATCTCCGGATCGAAGACACTTAAGTAAGAGTAGCTGTTATACCCCAATTTTTTTCCCTAAGATCCCTCATCATACTTTGTACATTTCACACATAGCATTGGTCCCGTGGTTGCAGGATCGAAGAGCTTTGGCATTAGGGTTTCTCTCTAAGAATTGAGGTTGCCGTCTTACTCGAAATTGATTCAACTGGTGCTCTCATTATTCTTGGTTTGAGATTAGGGTTTTGGATAACAAGCATCATAGACGTCTTCACTAATAGGTTTCCTCAAGACAAAAGTTTTTCTTCATCAAAAGTTTCTCAAGAACAAATGCATCAAGGCTTTACCTTTGTGTGCGTAGGTTTCATCATATTTTGAAACTGAGCAGACAATGAGCTAGAGTTTCGATTACTCCCAATACCTCAAGTCGTCTCCTCATCATTGTACATCCAAATCAAGAGAATTGGGGCTTCCTCCTAATTGTCTTCACTACAAGATATTCTTTTCAAGAAGTTTAGAGGATTGAATCGGAATCTCATTCTCATTATGATACTCATAAACGGATTAGGGTTTTTATCCAGGGTAGTTGAGTTTGTCAACATTTCAACTGAAGGCTATTGGATTTGATACTTCAAATCTTGCCACTTGTTTTCCATTGGTTCCTCACAGCTTTAATCTTGTTGCAAGATTGTTCATTACCGAGCTAGGATGTCTTCGAGGTTTAAAGTGTAAAAATAGGAATCATGACACAAGTATGGACTAAAGTCACTAATCATTCAATTGAAATGAATTGCTTCAACTGCAAGGTATGTGGACTCAAGATCAAAAGCTTCATCCAAATGTGCTATGAGTTTAATATGACCAGGTGATTCAAGGTTTTGGTTTATGGTTTCACTATGGCATCAACATTGACCTGTCACAAAGTAATTCAAAAGTGCTAGAGTGAAACATTCATGTATGTGGATGTCTTGGATAAAGTAAGTTACGAGACACATCATTATCAAAGTTATCTCACGGTTAACAAATGTCATCAAGGTTCCAATCACAAATGATCATTAAAATCATCAAAATTCGACTTTATTCAAAGCTTCATTCATGAACAAAGTTCTATTAAAAAATGCAAGATACCAATATGCTTTCATTACAAAGTTACTTGAGATTTGATCAAACATAAGTCATGGATTCGAATGTTTCATTCAATTGAAGATTGAAATTCAAATACTTCTAGATTCATTCAAGTCTAGTTCTCTGGAATTCAAGAAACAAGGAAAATGTTCATAATTGTGCCAAGGATTATATTTACAAGACCATTGCAAAAATCCTTACGTAAAAAACCTACGAAAGTCCTAAACTTAGGTTCCTAAAGCCAAAACTACTCCATTCTCCTTATATCTCATGCTGCTGAATCTTCACTATGTTGCATCATGATTATATTTCTTCAAACCATGCTTCAAGCTCTTCACGATTGAGGTTTCAACCAACTGCGCACAATTTTCCCTGTGTAAACATACATAAGCCAAGGCACGGATAAACCCATGTTCGTTAAAAATGTGCCAATACATACATTCATCAATTTAATACTTCGTAAGCTACAAAATAAAGTTCAAGTCACATGATTTCTGCCCAAAACATCGCGATTCAAAAAAGAAATTCCCGCATGAACCGCTCTACAAGACAATCATACCCTGCTGCAAATCTTACTAACCATATGCACCCCTGCATTAGTATAGAATTAGTTTAGAAAGTTCAATAAAATAACAATTCAGGATCAAATTCAAATAAAAAAACTGGTTCAGCAGAAAATAAAAAAAATCCTAATGTCATGTCAATTCTAACTAACAACTAATCAAAAAACAGTTAGAGCAAGTTTGACATCTCATCTTAACTACCTTAAACCACCTCAACTAACTTTCAACTACCTATAATAACCCTCTAACCAATTCATAACATGGGGATCTAATAACCAGCTTCTAAAACTCCCTATTTTCCAAACTAACTCCTAACGGTTTCAATCTCTTACCATCTATTCTCTCTAACCGTTTTCTTTAACCAAGGGCTGAGATTGATTCTAATCTCCAACTGCCTAACAACCTGCTAAGTGGATAATAGAAATAAAATAATGAAGAGGAGGCTAACACATGAGAAAGAGATTTTTGCTAACCGATTGGGAAAACCATAACAGAATTCACAACAGATAAGAGAGGAAATAGGATTCACCTGGAGAGGCTCTCACTCTCTCTTCCATGCCTCCACCTTCAACAGTATAACAATAAAGTCTCTCCTCTCTTCATCTAAAGAGGCCTGGCTTCAATCATCATCATTAAGAAATCACCTTCAATCATCTTCATCTTCAATCTTTTGCTTCTGCATCAATATCAAAACATTTCAACATCACCAGTCTTCAATCATAATGGCACTCTCGCTCCCAACGACCGCACACGCATAACTAACAAAAAAAGCATCGAACAGAAGCATAATAAGAGCAGAAGATTAGTAGAAGAAGGATTAGCACAAGAAACAGGGGAAAAAGATTAAGTTCATACCTGTATAAGAGCCTTATCAAGGGTCTCTAGATTTCTTGGCCATCTGCTTCGCTGGAATTCACCACAACTGCTACCGGAACATCCCTCAGTTCCAGAGGTAAACGCGATTTACCTTCTTCCTTCATCTTTTCTAACCTTTTCTCGCTTCGAATTTGTAGAAGATAATGTGTAGATTAAGAGCCCCAAGCCTGCGTGATCTGAAGCTTTCACTGCAGCATTTAATTGAATCTTCCAAATCTAGAGTTTCGGCAAGTCATAGAGGTTATAACAAAAAATGAATAAAAAACCAGTGGATTCGTATCGAGGGCGTTAAGACGAAGGGATTGGTGTATGCGATTTAAGTTTTGCGGTCTTTTGACAGCAGTGCTCGCGGTGACCTTCCTCACCAGAAAATGCACCGAGAACGGGGTGGGTAAAAGGGACGATCCTCTGAGTAATTGGAAGCGTGAGGATGGAGATGAGATGAAGGGAGAAGAAAGCGCCGCTGGTTGTTTGAGAAAGAAAGATGGAGTCGTATTGTTGGAAGATGAAAAGACTCGGGGTTTTTTAACCCTAACACCAGTTTCACTTCTAGTTGGTTATTTCTTTTTTTTTTTACACTTTCCTTCAGTTTTAGATAACCAAAAAAAAAAGAATTAAAGCTGAATAAAAAAAGAACAAATTAATTGGATTTAGGATATGCAGACCACGCCTATTGAACTGGGTTGTACATCCTCTTTGAGCCCACGATGCACCATTTTTTTTTGAATTCTGATATTGCACAAAAATCCAGTTATATACTAAATGGAAGATTTTGGCTTAGATACTTTTAGACCCATACACTCCCTGATTGCAATTCAGCACCCCCTGACTCTTTCTTTGCCTTTGTATATTTTTAGATTTTTGTTTTTTTATTTAATAAAAATAGTAATAAAAATACATTAAATAAAAACAATAAAAACAAATAGAATTTAGGACTTCTTATCATTTTTAGATAATGAAATACAAAATCAATAAAAATGTTTGTTGGGCTTTTTATTTGACTTTTGAAAATTAATTTCTAATTTTTCGATTACTTGAGACTTGTGATTCACTTTTTCATGTTGAGTTGAGTCTTATGCAGGTTCATTGCTTGATATGCATATGTTTTTGGATTTCGATTATGATTTATTTTCACATTGATGAAACTTCGACACCAATTCCCAATATCTGATCTCTGACTGTTTGTTTGTTGATGCCAGCTTGTGCGAAGTATTCTAGGTTTCTTTCCTTTGGTTGCACTTTTTGCGGACTTTATTTTTCGTTTGGTATTATACTGCTTCCAATTTATTTTTCTGGGCATTTATCTGTTTCTAGATATCATGAGAAGTAGGAAATAAAGAGCATGCGCTCAAAGTCGTTGTTTAAAGACCTGTAGCAGGAATTTCGCACTTCATTTCTTGTATGTGTTGTGCTTGTGATTGTTTCCTTTCTTGTTGATCGATGAGTCACTCAATTTAGAAATTGAGATCACGACTTCTCTCTCAGTGCATGCTCCCTATAGGACTTTATCGCTTTCCTTTATTTCTTGTTGATCGATAAGTCACTTAATTTAGAAATTGAGATCACGACTTCGCTCTCAGTGCATGTTCCCTATAGGGTAGTTTGTTAGACTTTCTTTGGCATGCTAACTTAGATAGGATCTCTTCAGGTGTGATCTCTTGAGTTTACTAGCTTGCTTGCTTTTTCCTTTTACATACCATGTTCCCTTAGGATGCGCTTGCTCTGTTCGGATGCGAGTTAAACCTTAGGTTGGGAACCATGCATGCTAACATTAGGTAGAAATTTCCCTTTCATCCTTGACGTAGGGCTACTTTTGTATGATAACATTGGGTTAGAAATAGGCTATTCTCCCTTAGACTCTTTTCTTCCCCTTTTTGCATCATTGCATTTAAAACTAAAACTTCTTTTTCTTGGCAAATGTATAAAAAATGCTAAGTATATAAAAAATTATTTTCATGGTAAAAAATACCAACCAATCCATTTCTTTTCGCCATTCGGCTTTTCTCTTCTAAGAGCATGTTAGCTTCTTTCAACTACAGGTCATAAGTCTCCGAAGGTTGAGCAGCGGTGGAATGATCGAACGCAATATTGTTCATTAAAAAAATACAAACCAATAAAATATATGAGCTGAACTACGACGCTCGGATTCCTTAAAAGGGATACGTATGCATTGGGGTAGGGCCCAAGCGAGCACAATTTTATTTGTCCCTACATTCTTTCTCCTTTCTTTGCATGCATTCCCTCTTAGTTTATAATCCTTAAGCATTAGATTGAACACACCCTTTGATTAGAATAACGAGAGTGGATCTCATAGAGTACTATGGATGTGTGGGGTGCTAATACCTTCCCCTCGCGTAATCGACTCCCTTACCCAATCTCTCAGTCGCAAGACCTTGATTTCCCCTTTAGGTTTTTCTTCGATGATTTTCCTTTCCCTTTCACATAGGATAAATAAATACTCGGTGACGACTTCATTGATTTTACCGCTACACCCGTCCCTTCACATCCAATGATGGGGCTTCTTATCAATCAATGGTAAGATAGCAACATCTAAAGCAGGAGGAAAAGAATATTAGACCTTTTGAGTAGGTAGGACGCTCGTAGTTTCTTGCTTGCTCACAACTAAAAAACATTTCTACACCAACACTTTCAATTGAAACATTTTCAAATGTTAAAACACTTTGTACGCATTCTTATAGAGACGAGAATCATTACAAAGGCACTTTTCAAAATGACTTTCAAAAAAATTATCTTCCACAACAAACATCTCTTTGAACTATTTTAAAAATCAACACTTTGTACACATTCTTATAGAGATGAGAATCATTACAAAGACGTTTTCAAAATAATTTCAAACCCACACCACAAGCACATTTTCAAACAAAAGCAAGTGATCTAGCAAGGAACTAAGAGCCCGTAGATAACTACGGATGAAAAGGGTGCTAACACCTTCCCTTTTCATAACCCACCCCCGAACTCAAGAAATAATCTCTAAAGGTATTTCCTATTCTTTTCACCCTTTCCTTTGTTGGATAAAAGAAAAGTCGGTGGTGACTCTTGCTATCCGCGACAATTACGATCAAACGCAAAACAACTAAGTCAGTTCTCCCATCGTATTACAGAAATGGCGACTCTGTTGGGGAATAAACTTAAAAGTGGAGTTACCTTAGAGCTAGATCATGTTTACTTGCTTTCTTTGTTTGACTTGCTTGCTTTACATTATGGTTCCTTATTTGGGCTTGTTCTGATCCTCCACCCGGATCTGGGGCACCTTTTAGGTAAGTAGCAATAGATTATGGAAACTGTACGGCATAGACCGATATGGTTGAAGAAATGGCTACGTTAGTGTGACGCATTTGTTGGTACCGATATCCCTTATGTTGAATCGAGGAGAATATGGGGCCGCTGAGCGGTGTCATGAAGCACTAACTGACCTTAAAACCTTAATTGAACAACTTGGCCATTAGGAAGTAGTGAGATAGCCGACTTTGGTGTAAAGCTGAAGATTGGTTGATACTCGATGCTACACTCATTGAGATCGTACTTTTGGGATATCTCGGCCACAAGAAAAGATTGATTATGATGAGACAATGCCTAAAAGAAAGGTCAGTGATATTGAGATCCCCTAAAACCCGGTTACTTTCTAGGACAGGTTGAGCCAACTAAACTTCAAGAGGGTACTTACCTACAAACTCCATGCAAGCCTAAACCTAAGGACTTATCTGCTTTATGTGTATATTATTATTTGTAGATAACAACTTGCTTGCTTTGCATACTTGTACATAACATCATGACATCATACCATAGCATTTTCAATAACCATTTCAAGGATCTCAGGGCCTATGATTCATGGTCATGATGAACCAGACATCTATCAAGGGGCAAGAGGATTTATTCTCCTCTAACTAAATTTCATCAAAGACCAAAGCACGTTAACAAGAGTCAAGGGCTATGACCCACTTGACATGGTGAGCTTGATTCTTGTAGAAGGACATCCACAAATACGAAGTTCTCCAAACAAAGATGTGACCAAAGTTCAACTTTTAACATCTTCTTGTGTTTACCCCGCGAGATCCTTAAAAACATTGCATCCATATATCATGCATGTTATCATGACAGGTTTTCCCCATACGGGTTTCTCATCTGCCTATTGTTTATTTCAGTAGAGATGGCTCTAGAATAGACTATCAAGGGTCTTCAACCCCAAAATGCTCAGCTTCAAGAAATATTCTGGAACCTATCCAAGGGGAAAGAAGAGGTGAAAGCACTCTTCACTAGGAGCATGACCATGAAGAATCCTGAGGAATACAAGGATGACCAGTTGGAACGGCTACAAACAGAGATAGCCACAATGAAAGTCTAGATGGTGGTCCAGATGGCTCTTATCCAAAACATGACGCAGGGACAATAAGAGCTGAGAGCCCTCGTCAACAAGCTTCATCAAGACGGATGCAACCATATGGGGTAAACGACTAGAATTAGGGATCAAGTCTTTAATCAGCCTCCGATGAGACAAGAAGTTGGTTTGGTGGAGAGTAAGCCTTTCCAAATTGCTGCCATGTCACGAGCCCAACAACGACCTCGCCAACATCAATGGGGAAATCAGTAAAGGCAAAACGAGCCTGAGAGACAGTTTACCAAATTCAACATGTCACCGTCTCAAGCATTGCAACACATGTTAGGGATGAATCTGATTATGTTGATAGTACCTTATCCAAACCCTAAAACTTCTTCTCCTAACTACAATCCTGATTAAGATGTGCCTATCATTCCGGAAATTCTGGGCATGATACAAACGATTGTTGGGCGCTGAAGTACAAGATTCAAAACCTGATCGACGAAGGAGCATTGGAATTTGCACAAGATGGTCAACTGGAGTTCTTCTATCACCCCTCAAAGGCACACCATCTGAAGTGACCAATTTAGGCGTAAAAACTTTTGTTTATTAGTATTTTCAATTGTAATTTATTTGTTTGCTTAAACGCTTATCTTTATGTCAGACTTTGATTGTTCTCATTAATGCATTGCATGTGTTTTTCTTGAATTAATCCATTCATTTTCATCATACTTAAAGCTATGCTTTTTACTCCCTTTTCGTGATATTCAACTCTCATTAAAAGTTGCAAACCTTTAGAGGGAGGATGACGAAAATAATGCCATAATCTCATACAGTATGCTTTTGAACAGACCTTGCTGACGATGTACATGCGTTTCTTTCAAACCCTAAACACTGGAGTTATTAGGAAGATAATCTTTAGTTAACCCCTTTGAGCCAAAGAAGTAGGAGTTTTCTTTTTCACAAAATTGAAACCCTTAATCAAAACCTGGGGCAGGGTAGTCTCTCAGTCAATTCAAATGCGCATTCAGTCGCAAACTTTCACTTCATACATAATGAATGAAAATGAAAACGTCCTTCTGAATCAAAAGACGATGATGGTTCCCTATCAAATAGGACGTCATTATCTCTCAAAAGAAAAGCCCACTAAGTCAAAACCTACGAAGGAGACTTAAGAAAAAACAGGGCATCTCGTTAACTGTAATCTCAAAACAGTCAGGAAAAAATCAGGGATAATAAATCAAAAAGAGGTCATAAAAATCCTTGACAACATGAAAAGTTTTGCAAAAGTGACTACCTTCCGACAAACTTAACTTGTCCGAACTATCACCAAAACATCATTCAGACTCAATTGGAGTTCAAAACGCACAATTAACTGAG